GGGTGGCCCCGGTGGGTGGGAGGGTGGGTGGGAAGGCCCTATCTGTGCCCCGCAGGCAGGAGCCGGGGGTCTGGTGGTTTAACTGGCAGTGCGCTTCCCAGCCCTCAGCCTCTGCTTCCTCATCTATCTGCCCGGTTCCCACACCAAGACCACCTCCTCCCAAGGACGCCCGTGAGGACGAGCTCACTTGGGGGCCAGACCCAGCCCAGGCAGCTGCAGGTGACACTGCCCTCGAGGGCCGGGTGCCCAGCCCCCACCCCCCACCCCCAGCCTCTCCCGGAGCCTGGACCCTGGCTCTCTCTCCCTAGGGAACTGCCAATAAGCCACCTGCCCACTCAGAGCCCGGCTCCCCCTCTGTGCCACGGGGGCAGGAGTAACTCATCTCACTGCCCAGGGAGCGGACCCAGCCTCCCGTGCCCAGGGAATATGCCACTCTGAGCCTCCGTTTCCCCAGCTAACACAGGACTGACTAGTGGTTCTGAGAGGTTTCATCCCCTCAGGCCCCGTCCCCTTCCCAGGCATCTCCCGGTCCATCTACCCCCAACTCTAGAGACCCCCCTACAGCAATGCTCCTCTGGGCTCCCACCCAGATTCCAAGATCTCCCAAGTCCCCATTCCACCCCATCCCTCCTCCCTCCTTGATTTGGTACCTGGTGCCAGGCGGGGGTCCGGGTAGGGTCAGGCAGCTGACTGGCCTTTCAAGGTTCACCTCCAAGGCTTAACCTGCCCGCGTCCTGCTGCGGAGGGAGCTGCTGCGTGTGTGGTGGCTCCCGGCCCCTCCTCGAAGGACAGGGCGGGCAGGCTGCCAGTGTGGAGGAGGAGGAGCCTGGGGAAGTGCTGGGTGTTTGGGGGGGGATGCCCCCTCCAGATGACTCCTCCCTCCTCCCTCCTCCCTAGCTGGGCTAGGGATGACGGACCATTAGTGAGTCATGAATTTCTCAGAGGGAGGCTGAGAAGGGGGCAGGGCTGGGAGCCGAGGCAGGGACCCAGGGGGATGCCTGTGACTCAGCACTGGGCAAGGGGGCACCGCAGCCTCACCCCTCGTTCGGGCAGACAGGTGCCCGGTTTCAGGGACAGACACCAGCCAGGGATAGCGCTGCCTCCTCACCCTCCATCTGCCGCTTCCCAGGGCTGTTCTCCCCAAAGTGCCCAGAGGCCAGGGTTGCCAGGGCAACGGGCACTTTGATGCTGCCCGCCTCCCGCCCCCCACACGGCCAGGCCCAGGCGACAACTGCCCCTTCCTGAAGGAGTGCCCAGCCTCCTTGGCAGCCGACAGGAGCCGGCAATGACCAATGACCGGCAGAGCGGAAGGCACGGGGTTGGGGGGGGGGCGGGGATCAAGCGCCTGGCACACAGCCAGCCAGTCCACGCACGACTGGCCACCTGACCTTGAGTCTCCCTGAGCCTCAGTCCTCCCAGCACAGGGACCCAGCGCAGTGCTCGCCAGGCACACACAGTGCCAACATCCCAGACGCAGGTTCTGGGCTCTGAGACGCCGGGGGCTTCTGGAGATGGCACCCCTTAGTCCATCTGCGAGGCCAGAGAGGACACTGAGGCCGAGTAGAACACCGGTCCTGGTGGCTCCAAAGCTTGGCGAGGGATCTGGGGGTGGGCCGGTGCCCCGACCCCTTACTGGTCACTGTCCGCAGCTCGCTGGCTGCTGAGGTCCCGGGAGGCCTCGGATGGCGGTGGCCACCCCAAGGGGCGGGGCTCCCCGCATTCCCTCAGCCCACCGCGTGGGTCAGTGCTTGCCAAGTCACTTCACATTATGGGGGTACGGAGCCACAACAGTGACACTAATGGTGATGGGGGCTCCCCGCATTCCCTCAGCCCACCGCGTGGATCAGTGCTTGCCAAGTCACAGGTGCCGTGAGGGCTTCACGTTATGGGGGTACGTAGCCACAACAGTGGCACTAATGGTGTAGTTACACTTACTGACCGTTTACTACCTTCCAGACTTTTCCCTCCCGCGCTGCCATTGTGAGCACAGCGGTGAGGGGCGAGCATCGCTCAGATCCGTGCCTGGTACCCAACAACCCTCACGGCATGGCTGCTGTGAACGTGGTGATGAGGCAGGGAGAGCGCAGGACCCAGAAATGGGGCTCAGAGAAGGGAATGAAGTTGCCTAAGCCACACCGCTGGAAGCGCTGAAGTTAGGACGGCCGCCCAGCAGTCTGGCTCCTGGTCACTCACAAGTGCAGCCTCCCCACATCTGGGCACATGGGGTGCTCAGGCCGCCTGCTGCAGTGTGAATGGGACTTTCTCAGGTGGGGGGTGGGGGGCCGGATTGCTGCCGGGAGGAAGCAGGGCCATCAAGCTGCCCGTGGGGGGTACAGCGAGGCCCCACCCAGAGCTTCCAGGAGGCGGCGCTGTGCTCTCCTGGGCGGGTGTCAGCCCTGCTGTCCAGACTGTGGCTGATGCCCTGGCGGCAGGCGCAGGCGCGGTGGGCACTCGGCCTGTCCTCCCTCCCAGGGCTGCAGTGGGCACTCCCTCGTTATCAGGGCCAGAGCCCCCAGTGTGGGGTGGGAACCGAGAGCAAAAGCAAGTTATCCAGGAAGAGATGGGGAGTCCCTTACATGCCGTGTCCCCAAGCAAGTCACCCCCTCTAAGCCTCTGCTTCCCCCAGGCCTGTCCTTCAGGGCTGAGCCACGGGCTAGGTGGGGCAGCATCAGCTGTTCCCTGCGATCCGGGCCAGCAGGGCAGCAATGACCCAACCACACCCCCAGAGGGTGCTGGCCAGCTGGGCACAGGTGGAGAGCTGGAGGTGCCACTCTCTGGGTGCCCAAGCCAGGGCCACAGAGACCTGGAGCCAGCTGCCACCTAGGAAAGGCTTGCGAGGCAGCCTGGCCAGGGCAGGAGTGGGCTTGCTAAGCTCTGGCTGTCCTTTCACCATCGGGCTTCTCAGAGACCTACTATGTGCAGGGCGAAGGTGGGGAGCAGGCCCCAGCTCCAAGGATGACTCACATTGGGATGACACCAGTCAGTTATTGGCACCATGGAACTGCCAGAAGGCTCTGGGAGTCAAAGGACAGAATCCACACAAATGATCATTAATCACAACACTGCCCATCACTAGTCCCACTAAGCGGTTCACATAGTAGGGTGCTGTGTAGGGTTCACTGTGTAAGGCACTGCTTGACGTGGGCCATCCTAATTGGCCGGGGTCCCACTGGTACATTAGAAACCAGGTGACGCAGCCCAGGCCACACAGCTGGCGTGTGGCTGGGAGCACCCACTAGGTGCCAGGTCCTTCTAGGTTCTTCATATGTATCACACCAGTCACTGTCCCCACTTCACAGAAGCGGGACAGGCACAGAGAGGGTGTGGCCTTTCAGGGAAGGAGCCAGGGTTTGAACCGAGCCAGTTGGCCCCAGAGCCCCGGCTGGGTCTTGAAGGAGGGGTTTTGATAATCAGAGACCAGCTGGAAGGGCATTCCAGGTGGAGGGAACAGTATCACCAGAGGTGGAGAGGGGACTGGGACACGGAGCCCGTCTTGGAAGGAGGTGGGGTCTGGTTAGGGGAGTAGGGGCAGATTCTGGGAGATGTTGGAAGCATGGAGTTTGCTTTGAATGGGGTTTCATCCAAGGCACTGGGAAACCAGGGAAGGTCTTTGGTTGGGAGGGGTGTGATCAGCACGCAAACGTGGCCCGCAGACCCTCTGCGTGGCCCGAGAACTTGTTGGAAACTCCAGCTCCTGGGTGGGCCTCAGGCCTCCTGAGTGAGAGTGTGCATTTGAACCAGGTGCACAGGGGACCCGGCATGGAGAAGAGCAGGAGGTGCCCTGGTCTGGACACCAGCGATGGTGGGCTGGGACGGTGGAGGATCCAGCCGGCCGCTGGAGAATATGGAAGCAGAGGGAGGTACGAGGGGCTAAGCTTTGGTCCAGAAAAACAGAGCAGGGCGAGGACTCCACCTCTCATGCGCAGGTGAGAGGAAAAGATGCCAGAAACCACCCTGAATAATGGGGGGCTCAAGCTGGGGCACAGAGAAGAGGCTGCCCTTGGGCTCAGTGGAATGGGGGTGTGCCTGTGACATGTGGGGGAGCCTCTCAACAGGCAGCTGGATACACATTGCTGGGGCTCAGGGTGAAGGGCTGGGGTCCCCCAGAATGAGAGAAGGTTGTGAGCATTACTGGAGGAGAGGACAGTGGCCAGAGACAGGGTGGGGAGTGCAGAAAGGCCTTCATTTGATTTTACTAAGCATCTACTATGTGCCGGGTGTGGCGCTCAATGGTTTACAAGGCCACTCTGCTCTCAAGATATATATATATATATAATATATCTCAGAGAGAAATGGAGAGGGAGAGAGAGATAGAAATACAATGATGAGAGAGAATCATGGATCGGCTGTTGGCTGCCTCCTGTACACCCCACACTGGGGATCGAGCCTGCAACCCGGGCATACGGCCTGACCGGGACTCAAACCGCCACCTCCTGGTTCTTAGGTCAACACCCAACCACTGAGCCACACCAGCTGGGCAGAAAGGCCTTCGTTTTAAAGGACGGAGGAGAGGGGGCCGCGCTGCCGCTGAGAGTTTAGAAGCCCAAACTCTGGACTCAGGCCAAGTGGCTTCCACTCCCAGCTCTGCCAGCTGGTGACTCAACTGCGGACCGTAGCAGTGCCACCAGGAATAGTAAACAAGGCCACGTCTGTAAATCTGATAAATCTCGCAGGCCAGGCACGAGTGAGCACCTGATGTGTCTGTGAGGGTTTCACGGCTCAGAGCAGGTGTGGGCCCCAGGCCAGGGTGAGAAAACAGATCCACGGTGCCCGCTGTGCCCGAGGCCTGGGCAAGTGGAGGACTCCCCTCCTCTGTCTCTGAGCCTCCATTCGGGCGGTGTGAGCCAGTCTGGCAGACAGTGCGGAGCTGTGCCCTCTGTGCGAGGGTCACAGCCAACCACTGCCTGCTGGGAGGTGAGTTTTTATTGGACAAGAGCAGCTCAAGTCCACGTTCTCTCCTTGCGAGCAGAATGGCCTTGTAAACCATTGAGCGCCACGCCCGGCACATAGTAGATGCTCAACAAATACTGAGCCAATGGCATGATGATTATCATAATGTCAACGCAAAAGCCCCCAAGCCCAGCACTCCAAGCTTACAAGCCCTTTCACGTCAGGATCTCTTCTACAAAACAGTCACCATCGGTCCCATTTCACAGACGTGGAAATTGAGGCCCAGAGAGAGAACCTTCCCAAGGCTTCACAGCACGTCATCAGCAGAGTCAGCATTTGAACCCAGACCACTTGCTTTTCAACCAGTGCTCCCAGCCACCTTCCCGTTCGTTCATTCCCGTGGGAAAGATTCCCGGCCACAGGCGTGGGGGCAGCCACAGCCCCACAATAACGCCATCTCCCATCACACCCGCCCCAGGGCCCAGGGGGATGGCATGGCCCATGTGACTCAGCCACAGTCACAAAGGGAGCTGTGTGCCCTGTGCTCGAGGCCTGCCTCCCCCACCCTCCGCTCATCCCCCAACTGGAGAAGAAGCAGGGAGCCTGACGAATCCAAGACGGCGGGGGGAGCAGGAGGGAGGCGTTGGCCATTAAAATGGGGCAAGTCTAACAGAGAGTCAAGCCCGGGCTTGGGGTGCAAGAATTTCGTGAGGCTCCGATGATGGAACACAAGGCCCAGGTCCAAGCCTGTTTTCTGATTCCCTATTTGGAGCTCCGAGGGCAGGCGCACCCTCATTGGCTCCCGCTGGGGTGGGGCCCAGGCAGGGACCCCGCCCATATTACCAGGATCAGATTTCAAAAGCACTGGGGCTTGGGAGAGCAAGTCACTCCTGGCCGCTGGGCTCCTCTGTCCACACCTGTCTCCAGCTCTGACCTCTCTCCCCGCTCCCTGCAGGTTCAGACCCAGTGCCCTTGTGTCCCTG